TGTGCATGCACGTGCACACCCACGTAAACACGCACACGCATTCTGAGTTGCACTCGAAGTTCCAAGGGTTGTACTCGAAACCAGACCCACTAAGCCCAAGCCGTGAACTCCTGAATAAACCTTGACACCTTTCTTGTGCAAGAGCCACTGATAAAAGCCCCGTATGGCAACCCGCTAAGCGCCCAGAAACCCTCAAATCGCAAGCCCCCCAAACCCTTGAATTCTAAACCCATGGAAAGCACCCAACAAAAAAAGAAGGAACCCAAAGCATGTAGAATGCTGGGTTCTTGTTAAGGTAGCTTAAATTCCTTACGAAGAACCCAGAATGAAGAGCTCCTCCCAATGCCTGGGAGGTGCGGATCAGAGGGCCTGGGATGAAGCCTGGGTTCCCCAGGTCATGAGCTGCCGCAGGCAGCCCTGTAATTCCCGGACCTTCCAATTTTAAGGTATGGTCCTTAATTCAGGGATATTGGCCCGATTTTCCTCAATTAAGGACGATACCTTCAACTTCAAAATTTTCAGGTGTAGTAGTATCGTCCCTACTTGCTGGAGCGGAAATTGGTCCAAGATCATGGAAATACGGACTATACTATACTATTAAAACGAAACAAGTAGGATCGCCAAGATGATTTGAGGTATATTCCTTAATCAAGAGATATTGGCACGTCTGCTTACTAGGGGCAGAAGCATAGGGAGTTTAGAGGTTTAGGGCTTTTTGTAACTAAGTGTGTTCGGAGTTGAGGATTTAGGGGTGCAGCGGTTTAAAGTTTAGGGTTGTTCGGCACTGAGGGTGTAGGGATCTCGGGGTTTAGAGCTTTGGAGGTTTGGGGTTTTGGGGCCTCCAGGGTTTTATGATCTATATATATATATATATATATATATATATATGAATGCAGACATGCATCCATGTCACTGTGGGGTCTGAAAATCCGATCTGACGACGGATGTTCATTCGTTACTACTTGTTGTAAGCTGGTCAGCATAGCTTGTCTGCATGTATATGTACATGCACATAAGCTCATGCGTCTTCATGGTTTCCCTTATTAGTTGTCTTGGGTCCTTTCGTGGGTTTCAGCGTCTCTCAGAGACTGCCCGAAAGGCCGCAGAAACCCAGAGAACCTTGGCACGCTTGGGTGCGGCACGCCTGCCTCCTGGTCTATCCCTGGCATCCTTGGCGCAACGACCCGCTGCCCTTCGGCTTCCGATGCCTGGTCTTGGTAGCCCCTGGGCTTTCATTGTGCGCTTTCCGTAGCAAGAAAAGGCTGCTGCTTCCACGTATGCAGTAATTTTTGCCACTTAGATCAAGCTTTAAACAGGAATCCAAGTGGGCGGGTGCTGGGATTGGGCCAAGTTCCGGGTTACGAGGCTCCTGGGCTTGAGAGTTTTCGGGGTTTAGGACTTTAGGGTTGCAGTTTTGAAAGGTTCAGGGATGGTTAGAGCCCACACGGAACTCTTGACTCCATGTCCGGAGTCGTAAGCTACCCTAAACTGTTTTAAACCCGAAGCCCTAAACTCTGAACCCTAAACTGAGCCCACGGGGGCGCAGAGACCTTCAACCAGTCCAGGAGCCTTTAAATCTAACACCGTCAATCCTTCAGCCCTAAACCACTGAACTTCCAAGAGATATGTCTGTGTATATATCTTTAACTTATTTGTTGAGTCGTTTGTTTGTTCCTGTTTGTTTACTTGTTTGTTTGCATACAAGCGCGCATGCTGCATGCAAGCCACAGAGCGAACCATGTTTTGATTCTTGGAGTTGATTGATGATGTGTATATGTTGTGATCGCACACATACATGCTCATGCCTGTAGCAAGGAAATGTATCTGCACTATTAAATGCACCTGCATGCAAATCTCTGCCTGTAGCAGGCGCAGATGTGTAGGTGAAGGTGTGAGGAAAAAGAAGTTCTAAGGTAGGGTTTCTTGGGCGAGGAACCATATATATATATGTATGTATATGTATATGTATATGCATATGCATATGCATATGTATATGTATATGTATATGTATATGTATATGTATATGTATATGTATATGTATATGTATATGTATATGTATATGTATATGTATATATATATATATATATATACAATTACGTACATTTGTACATGCGTGCATACATACCTACAGTTTGCGCCCTTGCAGGTCAGCTGGGGCCTCACGCTCTTCCTGTCAACGCTCTACGGTAGCCTCCTGGGCCGATGGGACTCGAGCACCAGCACGCTGTCCTCCGAGGCGACTCGGCTTTGGGGCTGTAGGGCTGAAGGTAGGGGCCTGAAGACTTCGTACTCCCATTCTTTTGGGGGTTCCTTTGTAGAATTGTTGCAGATTTTTTGTATGGTGACTAGTGTATTGTAGTAGATAACAGAATGATTGTGGTATAGTTATGCTGTATTATAGTGTAACATGTAACCAAACCAGGCATGCCCAACTATTCAGTTCCGGCTTGAAGGGTTTTGGGATTGACAGGTCTCGGCAAGCCTTGGGCTGGGTTCTGGGTATGATGGGTTTGGGGGTCGATGGTCTTGGGTGTGGGGCTTGGGGCTGAAGGGGATCAGGGGTTCAGGGATTTGGGCTTGATGGTCTTGGGCCGACAGTTTTTCTGGGAGAAACTCTAGGACATTCATTGACTTGGGGAGAAAGACTGTTGCCAACTTAAAGGATCTTGGCGCCAAGAGGCCTGCAGTTCTGTTGTGAGTACTGCTCTAGGTGTCTTTTTCTTAGTTTGTTAATGTCTTTTCTGATTTCCGTGCGGTTATCGTGAAACTAAACAGTTGGATGATATCACTCGGTGTTGTTATGTTTGTGTTTACAACTGTTTCTACGACGATCGGCACTGTTCTTATGTTCGGGATGTAGAAGCGTTCCGATGAGCCAGAAAGGCGGTAGAATCCAGGATTTCGGGATCCAGCATTCTGGGGTTTATGGGACAAGGGTTTCAGGTTTGTGATGTAGGTCTTGCAGTGGACCCCTGCGCCGCAAATCCGACACCTCAAACTCAAACCCCTGCAGCAAAAACTGAGAGAGCCCCACGACCTGAGGAGCCTTTGCTTACGAGCTGTGCAGTGCTCGGAGCCCTTAAGCCAGGAGTTAAACTGAATGACTCCCTCGAAGTTCACCCCCCCCAACAGCCAAAGAACTAAGGGTTTCGAGGTTTGGGCCTAGCGTGTTATATTCTACGCCTACGACCAGCGATGACCTCGGTCATTGCAACTATGGGGCGCATCATGGGATGTTGGCTCGGCCCAAATGGCTGTCACGATGTCTAAAAATTCCCGAACCGAACGGATACCTTCGGTGCTTTCCGCTCACCGAGTCATACGGGGAAAAGGAGGGACCCTTAATGGGGACCCCTACCCTATAATGGGCTATCTAATGGGTATATAAGACCCATATTAAGGGTATATACCTACAGGTCCTTAAAAAGTGGGTATATGATTATATAATAGCTAAATAAAGGGTATACACCTAGGGGTCCTTAAAAAGGGTCCCTCCTTTTTACCCTTGGCTTCTGAGGTTTCTGAGACCTCGGAAGGGGACAGCGAGAGCGATGCGCCGAGCGTAGGATCGGTGATTGAGGAATATTCCTTAAGTTATAATAGGATCCCTAATATGATTTAGGGAATATTCCTTAATTAAGGAATATTCCTTAAGTTATAATAGGATCCCTAATTTTTAGGGAATATTCCTTAATTAAGGAATATTCCTTAAGTTATAATAGGATCCCTAATATGATTTAGGGAATATTCCTTAATTAAGGAATATTCCTTAAGTTATAATAGGATCCCTAATATGATTTAGGGAATATTCCTTAATTAAGGAATATTCCTTAAGTTATAATAGGATCCCTAATATGATTTAGGGAATATTCCCTAATTAAGGGATATTGCAGTCCTTGGGCTCTTGCCCTAAGGGTCCAAGTACCTAGTTCTCACATACTCTCCAGAATACTGGAAAGCCACATTAAAGGGAACTCCAGAAAGTTGGAATATGGTTTCAGGGTAGGATACCTCATAATTTACCATACAGGGTTTAGGATAACCATATTCCAACTTTCTGGCTTTTACTGTACTACTATAGATCCCTAGTATGGCAACTTAAATTGAACTCAACAAGAACCCAGAAAAGTAGCCTACATAACTACTATCCTAAGCCCCAGTACCTAAGTCCTGGGTCCTTTGGACCCTTAGAGGTTGGTGACAGCCATGGATGTGCGAACATGTTGAGCTTCCCACTGTCTGGATTTTGCAGATCCAGCTGTAGAGTGTCTCCAGCCCAAAATCAACTGTTTAACTCATACCTATAGTCTCCATCGTAGTTCCTGTGCTTGGTTAACCAGTTTTATGGTTAGAATCGTAGAATAAACATTTTGGTTCACCGAAAAAAGGAACTACAATGGAGACTATAGGTAGGTTTGGAGTGTAGACAGCTTCCTTTGCCAATCAGGCCTCCATTTGAAGGGTCGTGACGCCTTCTCGGCGCTCGAATAACTCGGAATGTTGTGAGGAAATTTGCGCTTTAGCGTTTCTGACCAGAAGAAACACCAGAAAGTCCTGTTTTACGCACTGGGGTATATCCCTAAAGCCAAGCGCTCTTCCATGCTCAACCAAATCTAATTAATAAAGAAGCCTGACTAAGTACCAAACCGTTCACATGACAAGTACACTAGTACCCATAGCATAGTACCCTGCATACAAAAGCTTTCAATCTTTGAGGCCCTTCTTGGAAACCCTTATGATACCCCTTTGTGTGACCTGAAAAAGAGCTTTTTCTTGAACCGTTTACAGGGACCCTATTCCAGTCATCAAAGCCTCCTTACATTACTCTAATGTAGTGGCCTTAATAGTTACATATCTTTTATAATATTATGTATACCGGGTTGAAAACCCTAGCCAAATCATAGATCCCTTATAGTAGCCCTGATAGAACCCTTAACGGGAGCCCTATTCTACTTAGTAAGGCCTCTACATTACCTTCATGGCCCAGGCTTTCCCTCCAGATGGAGGCCGTGTTGAGGAGCCGCTGACTGGAGGGCTGTTGCCGGGGAGCCGCAAGGAAGCCAGCAAACCCCAACAAAGAGTTCTTGCATTCGACCTATATAGGGTTTCTCAGGGGATGCTTAAGAATGCTATGGCGAAAAATACGTTGTTGAGGAATTTTGGGGCTACTTACTCCCAGCTTTTTCAATGGAACCTGAAAGGGTGTACTTTGAGCCTTCTTACGATCCTTCCAAGTAACGAGCTGAGGAACAGTGCTTAGTCAGTTTCTGCTGGGTTCCTTGGAATATCTCTTGGGCCCTAAACCCTATTTAAAGGAACCCTATTTTAATTATTAAGGCCCCTGCATCATATACTCCTCAAGCGAAACCCTAAGAGCCTAAACCATAGATCCTAAACCCTTAACCCCTAAACCTCAAACCCTAAACCCCTAAACCCTAAGCCCTACGCCCTACACCGTAAACCCTGAGCCTTGACGACTCTCGAGGATCCTCGCGCTGAGCATCTTCCGCTGTAGCTTGGCGGCCTCCCAGAAGCAAAGCAGGCCCAGTTAGACCCCAAGAAACATAGGGACATAGTGGTTTTGGCTTAGGATGAATAAGGTTTAGGGATCAGGGTCGGGGTTCGAAATCGGGGTTCAGGGCATGAGATTTAGGCTTGGGGTTCAAGCTAGGAGCTTGGGATTTCGGGTCGTGGGCCTGAGAGCCGAGGATGGGTCAGGGGTGTCGCATTTTCTGGCTTTGGGGTTGAGTTCAGGAGTTAATGGCCCCCTTGCCCTTGCACGTGTTTCGTTGAACCTGAATTTCGAGGTGCCTTTCGTTTAGAAACAGGGACAGTGTGCATTGTTTGTTGGGGGGGGGTCTCCAGTAACACTCATCCTGGGTCTGTGTTTTCAGCATGCAAGGCCAGGTATGGGGGCTTAATTTGCCTTGAACCCTGCACCTTGAATTCCGAACCCGAAACCCTCAACCATAAACGCTGCACAGAATGCGCATTGCATTATCAAAACGGCCTAAACATGTAAGACCATTAACCCCAAACTGTCACACGAGTTTTGTCTGCTTGGCTGTCGGGATTTACAGCGGGCTCTTGGTCAGTTTGGCATGGCCAGGCGCGAGATGAAAGCAGTCGCGCTGCTTATGGCGGTGGCCGTTGTGGCAGCTTCCCTGCATTTTCCTCAGCTCCTATTTTGGGGTTCCGAGTCATTAGTGATGCGATTCCTCAGGATTCCTTCTTATAGTGATCCTATACGTTACCGGCCTCCCAAAATTTCCACAAATTGATGTTTAAGGTCTCTGTATGGGACCACCAGAGAGAGAGTTACAGTGCCCATTCATGTTTCATACTCTTTGTGTTGCGTTCCCATGTATTTATGTAGCGGGATACTGTTCCCTAAACCCTAGATGTTACGATCCAGAAAACAGTATCTGCACACCGTTCACCCCGACTTCCAAGGCTACCTTTGTCATCTACCCACTGACTGTGGTGCTTTCCGAGCGTCGCTGCCGCTATGTCCGCCGCCTCTTCTTTCAGTTCTTCGTCTCGGAACCCTCGGTGCGCTTAGCAAGGTCTACAGTATTTGGGAGTTTCCGAAAATTGGGGGTACCTTATTTTGGGATCCTGATAATAGGGAACCTATTATTCAGGGTACTATATTTGGGTCGCCTAGTTTCGGAAACTCCGATTAGAGTTAGAGGTTGGGGTCGCTGCACTTCGCAGACTCTTCGTGGCTGTATGTAGGGTTTTGAGTCTATGGGGTATTTCTCAGCTTCGGGGTTCAGGGTTTCGGAGGCAGTGCTTGGGTCAGAGCAAGAAGCAATGCAAACAGGCATCTGAACAGTGAGTTCTTGGAAAGTCAGAATATTAGGATGTCTGCTGCAGTCCGCGTTAAGCGAGGACATGTATGCATACGGGCTCCACAGTCTTGTTCTTCGTTGCCGGCTGATGCTGATTGCAACTCGTCGCCGTCGTCGAATGACCAGGATGAGGAAGAGATGGAGAAATACGTACAGTGTACAGTACTAGTTAATACGATGAGGTCAGGATGCTTCAAAGTCCTTCGACATCGATCTTCGGTGCACATTATGGTAGCCATTCAGCTTCTCAAGACATGTGCAGCTCTCTCCTGGGGGAGTTTGACTGCAGGGGTAGCGTTGTTGTTGGCTTCGAGGTTTTGTTCCTCTGCTTCTCTTCCCTGCGATCGTCCAAGGGAAATTGCTCCCTTACCGTAGTACATCTTAAATCATATCAGGGATCCCTCCTGTCGCTTATATAATATACTCGGTATGTCGGGAGCCTATCAAGCCCATGCAAGAAGCCCGTAAAGCCATTTAGCTAAGGCATATTTCCAATTGTAGGGCTGACTTGGGCTTGCTTGGCTAAGCGCTGAAGCCCGGGAGTCGGGAAATCATAGTGAGCCCCTAGTTGCATAACTTGTTCAAAAAAGCCCAATAGAGCTCCACCCTGAACAGACCCTTCTAAACGTCATTCCCATTATCGAATATATAACCTAACCTAACCTAAGCTAATTCAGCTTAACCTCATCCAATGCCCTCTAATCCAAGAGGCCTGATACAACATAGTACAACGTAACATAACATAACGTAATTTGGTAATACAGCCCCAAAGACCTTTGAGGACCTGGTCCGCGGGCTGCCCTTGGCACTTGCCATATCTTCAGCCTGGCATCCTGTCGGGAGGTTTTGTCGAGGGGTTGCTGTAGGAGTCCCAGCAGGGCCTCTATAAAGGTGAGATTTTGTATATGCGCTTCTGAATATATACATATATATATATATATACATATATAATTCATGTGCATATTATCTTTGTGTACTGGTAGGTCACTGAGCCTTTGTGTGCACCTGTATGGGTTATGTGAGGTTTCTGCTTTTGCTGTTGTTGCAGTGGGCTTGTGCGATTTTGGCAGGCTTCATGGGGTCTGTGTACGAGGTCTACCTAGGGCGTTTCGGGAAACAGGGCCTTGTTGCTCACAGAAACTTCAGCAAGAAGAGATATGGGGTTTAGTCCCAACTAGCTACAGGAATAGGACCAGGAGCCTCTTGATTCATAGCGGAGCCAGGAAAACCTTGGAGAGTGTGGGTTGAGTTTAGGTGATGGAATCCTAAACCTTCAACTTTAACCCTGATTCGTGAAACCCCCCAAACCCAAGAGCACTCTCGGGTCCACAGGAATCCACAGGCGCAAGTTGGATTGAGGCATTTGAGCGCTGTATCGATGGAGGATTTGGGATCGTAGGCACCCACAGATTCGAAAACTCGCAAGGCATGAATGTTCCTTCAATCATATACAAGAATCCTGTATCATTCAAGGTGTATTGCTTGATCGCGGTTGTGGAGCCTCCGGGTAGCGCTTCGATCTTTGAGCCTGCTCGGATGGTTCGTAAGGCTAGTCAAATAATATAGGGGGCTTTATACTTAGAATAAGCGTTTGGGGCACATCTTACTGTAACTTCAAAAGGAACCCGAAGGGATAATGTTGGCAAGTATTCAGGCTTCCATGTTGATAGGTGCATTGGACAAGGCATTCTCAGGAAGCCAAACCCTCAACCATAGAAACCCACAAGAGGTATGTGCTGCTCACGGCTTGCGGCGCTCGCGACCGTGTACTCCAAGATGAGGTGCAGCTGACCGCGCTGGACTCGTGGAAGCTTCTGCCGGCCTTTTCCGAGGTCCCGAAAAAAGTCTGGAGACCTCACAACTCGCCACACTGGTCCCAAAACCTACTAAAGGAGCCACCCTAAGACCCAACACCCAGCTTGTTCAAGATTTGTGAAATCACAGGCAACAATGCAACACGAGCACTAAGCTCATTCATCCAAGCAGCCCCCAAAAACCCGAGAACTTGAAGCCAACAAAGCCCCACCAAAGCCACCGATACCACCCCGAGAGTCGAATAAAACGTTCGTCTCCTGGCGGCACCCAAAAGGTGGAGAAAGAGAGCGGGTTTTCGGGCGAGTGTTGCTGTGGACTTCAGGGCTGAACTGAAACGTACGCTGTTGAGGGGTACTATACCCAGAGAGCCCAATGCCCCCTTAATTAAGGAATACAGCCTGAATCAGAATATGATGCCCCTTATAGTTTAAGGTATATTCCTTGTAATTAAGGGGAATTGGGCTCTCTGGGTATGCCTTGGGTATCGTACAAAGATCCCTTTTCAGACACTTGGGAGTAGTGTCTTTGTTGCTGGGACCTGGTGTCGAGTTCCATGGGATTGATGCGTTGAAGGCGGCTTCTGGGTTACGGTGAAGTCGTGCGTTTGCTGCTGGAGGCTGTTGCCGAACCGGTGGCCAGAACGGAAGACTGCAGAGGGCTTGTTGTACTGGTTCGCTCGTGCATTTGTTGCCGTGAATATTCCAAACCCTCTCGCCTCGCGCTTAATCATCGGATCCTTGCAGGAGGGGGATTTGTCGATCAGGTGACTCCATCGGTTTCGAGACTGTTGGGGGAGCCAAGGCCACCTAAAAACCGAGAGCCTCAAATCCTAAGCCATCCTATGAAACCCCAAGTCTCGCAGCCGTGTCCGACTCAAGCACTTCTGACACGACCACCTTTCGGGGCAACTCAGAGCTACAGCACTCCTGGCTCCGCTTGGCCCTTACGAGCCTCGCAGTTTTGGATGAGATCCTTGCCCAGAGGGTCCAAACTACCTGTTTAGTAGAATGTAGGGTTTCTATGTTAGGAATTACTATTACGATTTGGGGAAGTAGCTCCCAGAACAGTACCCAGAACCCTTGGGTTGACCTGCCGGAGATCGATGCTTCATCCTTTATGTTGCAACAAGTTTGATTGCGCAGTTCATGTTGACGCCATGCAGTTGATTCGCACTGCTTCTAGAATCTGAAAGTCTTGCTGATCGTTGATGGCCAGCGTGTGCCTTGCGAGCTTTCATGGAGCCGTTCCATAGAGGCTCGGAGCCCCCACAACGCCAGCGAAGATTGATGAGTTCACAAGCCCTGTGTATTCAGAATGCCAGGACATGTCTTGCGGTTTTGACCATTGTGCTCCGGCATCATAGGTTTGATCTTGGTGTTCCGGCAGATGTTAGGCGGGTCGAGAGTTCCGGGGCTGTCCTTCATGTTCATAGATTCATAGACCTTTCGGCATCTAGCCGGGTAACCCCCCCGCTACCCCACACGAAACACTGGCCCGCAGTCTGCAAGAGCACCGCATCTGGGAGAGGGTTCAATTCGCCTTGATCCGCGCCCGAAGCTTGTTCTGGGACCGGCGTTGGCATAATCATGTAGGTGGTTGTCAACATTATCCCCCCTTTCTGGGTCCTTATTATAATACGGCATCTAATGTTTAGGGTACCCAAAAAGGGACCATATTTTTGACAACCACCCATGTGTGTCATGGTAGAACCTTTGCAACAAAGAGCAACAGTAGCAATAGTACCCACTGATCGAAAGATAAGCATGACCACAGCGACGTCGGAAATCATCAATCATCCTCGTCGTGATGACGGCGACCCCTTCAGACTAGACCTTCGCTTGAATCAGGTACTTGCACCACGGCGATGCATGCAGATGGATTTCGCCGGGACCTTGGAGAGGACTCTATGAAGGCTGGGGGCTCAAGCTGTATAGCCAGTTATAGCAGCTGCACTTTCTGCTTTAGACTTTTTCAATATCTCAAGCCCTACTGGACCCGAGACAATGAGCATTAAGCCCCAAATCAAAGCATAAAGAAGTCTGATATCTTGGTTTGAGTTCTGAGCAGCCCAAGCTTCGCAGGTTCCAGCCCCCTGAGCTGACAGTGCCCGAGCCCGAAATGGGAGTTTCCGAAAATTACGAGTACCTTATTTGGGGGGGTCCTTATAATAAGGATCCTACTATTTAGGGTACTCTATTAGGGTCCCTTATTGTGGCAACCCCCAAATGCTTCAGCCGGAACCCGGCCCGGAACATCTAAATTTAAACCCCAAGTAGCCAAGCCTTAAACTTGGGTCTTTCAAAAAGCCAACCCCCCGAGCCAAACAGTTCTGCCGAGAGATGTTCCTGCATGATGGCGCGCTGTAAGGAACAACGATCGAAACTCAAAGCTCAGGGTAGTGCTACAAGCTAATCAGAAGTCGCCCAGCTTCAAAACGCAAAAGCTTAAATCCGATGGTCTACACCCCTGCATGCCCTAAACTCTAATCTCCAAAGAGCCCTTAGAAGCCCTTCATGGAAGCAGTTGCGGCCCCTCGGCTGGGATCCCATCTAGGCCACAGAGCTGGGGCTCAATTCAAACCTGCACTACGATTTCCATGGAGACTCCAACAGCCGTGCATGAATGAATGCGTCTGAATGGGTGCTTGCATGGATCCTTGTATGCTTTACGGTGATTCGTTCAAAGCCTCAACTTCTGATACCCCGCCGCACAAATTCCGTTGAAACCCTGAACAGTTTGCGAAACCCTGAAATCAAGGATGTTCCCCCACTGCCTCAGCCGGCCACAACAGGCAGGGATCGCAGGGGCAGAGGTGGAAACGTACTCCAGGCCTGAACAGTGCGGACCCCAGGAAAGTCGCCCAGGTTATCTTGGTCGATGTAGGGTTTTGCGAATTAGGGGATTATGTCACCGTCTAACATCTTTAACCGGTTAACCTTGCTGCCACACTCGATGCGCATTGCGGCGGTTTTCGGCTCTGAACGATGTCACTTCGATCCGGCTGATTTGCTCTTGAGGGAGCCTCAGGACTTATTTGCGCAGCCGAAGTCCGGCATTTGCTAGAAGCCACGGGGGTCGGAAACTACAAGTGGACGTGTGCTCCAAGTCCACTGTGTGGCCACACAGTCGTACCGCCAGTACCGGCAGCGATTGCATCGTCGTCGTCAGGACAAGCATGGTTACATCAGCAAACCAACCGTGGAACTGTGAATCAGATACTGTAATATGAGATAATTACCCTACTATTGTTGGGCGTAGCCCAATATCCTATTCTACCTATTCTGGGCCCTATAGTAACTGCCCTTGAAGACTTTGATATGCCACAGGTTGAAGCAGTCAGCCTCTTGGAGATTTCTCTGCAACACAAGACCCCATGAAACCCGGTGGCACCCGCGTAGAACCCTGTAGAATCAATATGGGTTGTTGTCAAAATAATGGTCCCTTTTTGGGTCCCTAATATAGTACGGCAACTATTATTTAGGGTACCCCCAAAGGGACCATAATTTTGACAACCACCCATATACAACAACCTACAAAGCCCCGGCTGGGAAAGGGATGGTGACTGAAGCTCGGAGCCTCCATCTCGCAAGCTTCGGCATTTCTGGCTTCAACGGATTCTGCTTGAATTCTGTAGAGTTCTAGATTCCAGGTCCCATTGCAGATAGTTTAGACAGTTAGATGTCATGTTGCGAGTCGGTATATCCACAGTCTCGGCTGGCCGTTCGCTGACAACGTAGAGATATTCCAGAGTTTTACAGATTTTGGAGCCGCAAGCTTTTAATCTTGCTTCACCCACGTCAACCGCCTGGCACGGTTTTCAAATCTGGAAACCAGCACAAATCGCAAATCATGCAGATTGCAGAGCCAAGTGAAGGCTCAGAGGCCGTTGCGCGCTTCGAGAGTTGCGCCGACGCGGTAGAATCCACATCCAGACAAGGCGCGAAGCTCACAGCAGCCCCAAGCAAGTTTTCAGAGATTTCAGCTTCATTGATTGGTGCATGTCAGTGTTGCCCAGTGTTCAAGGAGGCATTGCAGTTTCGGTGAGGGTCGAACGTACAACAATTTCCGTGTATTCTAGGCAGACTGGAGTGTACTTGGCTGTTGGGTTCAAGTCATAGTGGTGTTGTCTAATGGACCTTACATATTCATCGCGCTTGCGCCGGGGCAAGGTTTCTTCTTCCGTCTTGCACTTTCCCTTCTCAGCATGACTGTTCCAATGAAAATCATTTATTGGGTATTGCTTCTAGATTCGATATACAGCTCCCATGAGCAATGCAACGCGACACGAGTAAGTCAGTGTCGCAAAGCCAAAGTTGACACGAAGATTGCCAAGACCCTCATCGAAGGATACTGGCCCTTGGTATCCTGATCCATGCCAAGACCTGAGGATGCCCGGCCGACAGCGTCACCTGCATGTGTCGCCGCATCACATTGAATCGCAAAAATGCTCATTGGTGACAGCGTTCCTTGACAATCTGCTTCCATGACTTATGTACCAAACACCAGGCGTAGTCAAGCCAGATCGTGAACTGGAGATTATCACTTTGCACTTGCTGCCGACCGTCCTGCTTGCGCTGTCTTCTAGAAGCTGCCAATTCGCCTTGGGGTCTTCGATCCTGCACCATTTTGTCGTGCAGTTGCTGCATGCTGAGGTGCGATCATCTCCGGTCTCCTGCTTTGGGAACCTCTTCATTGGCCAGGAGCGGATAACCCACCTGCTGAGCTGCATGTTCTTGTTTTAGTGTGCGCTCGCGAACTTCCTGCAGGTGCACAGTAGAAACCCAGTAGGTGGTCTAGCGAGCACAGCAGCTGTGCCGCTGCATGATGCTCGAATCTGCTCAAAGTTGCTGAAGCAAAGATACTTCGGCCCCGCATGTAACTCGGGCAGGAGCTGCCGTGGCTTCGACACCAGTCTTGATGTCGCAGAAACACGAACACACGTTGTCGTATTAGTAGACACTTGTAGCTTGGTTGCTGAATGCCGTCATGCCGCCAAACGCCGATACTGTCCGCCAAAATGCACGGAAAGGCCACGACTTTGAGAAGGAAGTGTTCGACTCGATGAGGTCCAAACTCAAATGGCGAGAGGTCCTTCTGAGCCCACTTGACGACAACGGCAACCCGATGCGGAAAGAGAACGGCAAGCCATTGCGGACCCGCATTGACATTGTCAGCAAGAATCAGAAGAGGCTTGACCTGTTTGAGTGCAAGAGCAGCGCAAAAGCCCCGCTCACTTCCAACCAGAAGCAGGCATTCCCGCTGATCGAGAGTAATGGGTGCCAGATTGAAAGCAAAAGAAAAGAAGGTTTGCCTGCGGGCGAAAAACATGGACCCACAAAGGTGCAGGTGGTGAGACCGGAATCGGACCCTTCGAAACCGCATGCTGGGCCTGGGCCTGGACCAGATTCGACAGCAGGAGGAGGAGCATCTGGGCTTGGACCGCCGCCGCGGCCGACGCGGCCGCCAAACTCGACAGCAGGAGGAGCAGCAGGAAACGCGGGAGAAAGTGCTGAGCATCGTGCTGATGCTGGTGCGCCTCCGGGTATTGCGAGTGCACCCAAAGCAGAGAAGTCATCAGACAACCCTCGCAGTTTCACCATCAAGAACTCTAAGGGTGAACACGTCAGTCAGATCAGTGACCGCACAGAGGCAGGCACAGAGCACATTTATCACCAGGCCGTCAAGGACGAGGGCGACACTTCCACTGTCCGCGAGTATCTTAATGAAAGCCCGACAGATTCCACCTATGGGAAATCTCAACGTTACACCGAGACTCAAGTGACAAAGGGCTCACCATTTCAGACCGTTAGCAAAGGAAGCGCTCAACTCGACAAAGACCATGGAGTCATCGTGGACGACTCCGTCGTCATCACTTCCAAGCACACAGAGCTTCGACCTGAAGTCGTGGCGGCCGCACGCGATGGCTTCGTGCAAGGTGCTACACGCGCCCGGCAGGAGAATGAGTCGCGTCTGCATTTGTCAACTGAGTCCAAGCTACATGCCATCAAGGATTCATTGCAAACTGCTGTGCACGAGGGTGCGGCTAGCTCTGCAATGATGCTGATTCGAGAGAAGATCGTGCCGTCTGCTGCCTCTCGCCTGGGAGAAGCTCCACGCATGTTGCCAGCTGACATCAGACCAGTATGCGATGGCGAGCGAATTGGAGCTACTTTTGGTGGTGGCCACTCTGTGACTCTGGGTCAGCGCAGGCGCAGTGGTGCAGAAGTTTCCAGAGACGGCGCACGACTGTCGTCCAGTCAGGTCGAAAAAGGCTTGCAATTCCGAGTTGGTATCCCGCAGACATACGGCATAGTGGGAGTGGGTGGGAATCTTGGAGAAACTACAAACACTTCTCAAGAGTTGCGCGAAGATGGAAGCAGCAAGTCGACTGCTGAGAGTTTGAGAGGCTTCAAAGGTGGCATCGACGTTTGTGGGGTGGAAGTCTTAAATCTCGACACTGGCAAATGCTCGAGCTGTGCGGAGGAGCAGGAAGCAGGCATCTTCGGTCGCTCCATCGAAACAAAAAAATCTGGTTTCAAGGTTCTCGGGGCTGAGCGCGTGCAGCAATCTTCAAGACATGAGTCCGGCATGCTGGGCGATCGACAGGTCGACATTGACCACTGTGCTGGGACTGCCAGTGAGCACAAGAGCTATGGGCTTGGCAAGTTCAGCATTCTGGAGACGAGGACGCATGGGATTGTCAAAACCAAGAAGGCGAACCCAAACCTTCGCGAACACAAGCCAGGGACTACATTGACTACACCTTCGGATGCCGGGCCAATGTGGAAGACACCCGGCATGTCGCGGTCGAATCCGATTACATCCTCAGAACATCTTGAAGTCAAGCCACGAACGACAAATTCAGAAGTGAGGCCACCTTCGAGCACATGCAGGATGGTCGGGCATGCCAATCCCATAACCCCAGAACATCTCGAGTTCAAGGCCGGGACTACGCTTTTGCAAGTTGATTCGAAGCAGCATGTTGCCGGGAAGCTGGAGAGATGTGGACTTGGCGAGGTGAGACCACACCAGATCGACGATGCAGCCCTTCAACATCTGGAGTTCGAGCCAGGGACTTCATCCACACAGGTTTGTTTGGGCCACGGAGGTCAGTTGGTCGCGGGTGCTGGCGCAGCTGGCGCAGTTCAAGGTGCATGCGACCTCTTCGACGGCCAGGATGCCACTGTTGCCTTGAAGGATGGCGCAGCAGTTTTCGCGGAGAACTTGGGGGGCGTTGCTTTCATGGAAGCAACAGGTTTGCCAATCCTGCACGTTGGTTCGGATCACGTGTCAGCTGTCCTGCCGCAAGGTCTCTCTATTGGTGTAGGTCATGAGGCAGGCATTTACGAGACACCGCTGGGCCAGATGCATCAGGACACAACTGGAGTGCAGCTGAGCGCCGGAATCCCGGGTGATCCACTCCAGGTGGTGCAGGCGAAGGCAGCAATAGGACACACAGTGGATCACTTCTCGAAATCCTTCGAGAGTGCGGCAGGCACGCAACATCACGAAGAGACGTGCACTACGGATGGTATCGAGCTTCAGTTTACATTGGGTAACCGCTCTACCGATCCTGTGCGAATTGGCCATATCTGTACAAGAACAAACGACTCCTCAAGTGTCGTCGATAAACGAGGAGCCAAAACCAACACGATGCATCAGAGAAGTTATGATGGCGTCGGCGTCGGAATCGCTGAAGTCGGGAGAGTGGACGAGATGACTTCGGCTACCACTGCTCAGAAGGATGGCACCACATCCTATAGCAACGAGGAGTTTCATGGCACGGAGGAGGGTTTCGCCACTGGCTTGTACAATCAAAGCATTGAACAAGGTCACTTCAAAGCTGAGAGTGGTAAGAATGCGCACTCGTGGACTGACGGTAAGGGTGTACAGCGTTCCGAAGCTTCTCATGAAGCGTTTGAAGGCGAAGAGACCCATGTACACTCGACAGCATTCTTCGGACTGTGGGATTTGGGAACGCGCGTTGCCAGAGAAGGCCATGTCGAAGGTGCTGGGGTGTCTTCGTCGTCATCTGACGTCACCAAGAATGGTGTGCGAGTGGTCTCTGAGCATACGGAGGACACTACTTATCAAGGTGAGCAGACGACTGTCGATGGCACTACCGAAGAAGAGCACCTTCGTGTTCACAAGCTCCTGCGAGACCACCACGAAACCACTTGCGGAAACGACAAGCAAGTCGAGAACGTTTCGAGCACTTATGATGGGCATCGTGATTTGGACAAAGACACTGCAGATGGCTCTTCCAGATCGGGCACATGGCATACAAATAAATCTGTGCATCATGAATCCCTGTCGCTCTACGGCCAAATGGATGATGTTTCTGACGTCAGGATTCAGCGCACTCAGCAGGGTGACGAGAACGGTCCCGATGCGCAGATGGAAGACGGCGACATTTGTGACATTGCTGGCAAGCATGCGGATCAGCTCTACGGCGTGGACGTCTGCAGCGAGTCCTACTCCATTCACGACGGGGAAGGCGACATGCACACCAACAACGTTCTGTTTTCCACCTCTGTGCACGGCAAGATGCATTATGATGAGCATCGTGAGAAACTGGTCGTCGACAACATGGCAGGCTGCGATGTAACCCTGTCGGCCAATGTGAACTGTGCTATTGCATCTGCCACTGGATCGGCATTGCAATGTGTCATCAACAAAGGCTATCTTGGTTGGCAGGACTGCCTTCAAATCAGCAAGGCTGGTGTGAAACAGTTCGGGTTGTATACGCTGGTCCAGGCCATGTCCGACGTGCTCAGCAGCCCCTGGCTTTCTGTAGGCCTTGTAGCCGGTCTGTTCGGTGCTTTTCGTGACTACAAGGCCCTCTGGAATAAGCAAGCTTTGTGCCTGTGGGACAAGATAGTCCATGCCAATGGCATTGTGAGTGGGATGGCTGCGGATGTTGCTTTGTATATGTTGTTTTCGACCAATCCGTACTTGCAAGTCATCGTTGCGGCCGCACGCTTTTTCCGAGATGTGTGTCGTGAAGGGTACGATGCATACAAAGGCAATCTAGAACTTTATATGGCATTTCGGAATGTGTACACAAATCCACAGCTGGGAGCTGCAGGTGCTGGTCTCCTAGGTGCGAAACTTGGCATGGTTGTCGGTGGCTGTGTGGCTGGTCCCATAGGTTTGGGGCTTGGTGCTGCCATTGGAGGTGCTCTAGGAGGTATCCTTGGTGCGTTTGGATTGCGGTGGATGACAGGAGCTCATGCAGACAGAGACTTGCAATATGCCTACACATTTTTGGAGGTCGGTGAGGACTCTTCTGATGCCGAGGTTTATGCCGCATATCGGCGCAAAGCTCGCAAGTTTCATCCAGACAAGGGCGGATCAGATGAGATGTTCAAGCTACTGGGCCAGCATTATGAAAAGATCCAAGAAAGCCGTGCGGCAAAGTTTCGCAGCGGTCATGCAGGCGAGCAGACAGTGAAGCATGTTGCAGCCTTGGAGGGGTCCAATGTCGATCCCGATCCCCTGATCACGGTGTGTTTGTAGGGTTAGGCGATGGGTTGTCCACTGCGTTTTGCTGTTTCCGTGAGATGAAGTTCAGCGACACACGACGTTAAAGCAATTGCAAGAATGCAGCGGACGGTCCGCTTCTCCAGACAATGGACAGACAGGCGATTGGTTCCTGGCGGAAAAGAATCGCCAATATGGCTGACGTACGAGATTGTCGCGTTCTTGAATCCAGCGTCATGCCATGCTTGCACTTCACGCTCGTTCGTGCCAGGTGCTGTCTCTGAGTGAAGAGAACGAAGTGGAAATGTAATTTGTTTGGGTCCTCGTCGCGACGCTCTTGTCCTCAAGATTGCGGCCGTGCAGGACTGGTCATGTCATTCGAGGCAGCTTTTCCGGTGCGTTGAGACTTCTTCCTCGGCTTCCTGGGCTCTAGCTTCCCGGGAGTCCCGAAACTCTGGAATTTAGACCTTTGCAAAAGGGTAAGGCTTCGGGTAAGGGTTGATGAGGTTGAGACTGCACCTTCAAACAAAAGCGCAGACGGGTTACATCTGTGCAGTACCCAGCTCGACTGAAGTGCATCCAACAAGAAGGTAGCCAAACGGGAACAGCAGGAACACTGAGCATCAAACGAGACGTGGAGGAGTGAACTTCGGCTTCATACTGCACCCATCAACTTGGTATTTCCGTGCAAACGGTGTGGCAAGCATGCGACTTTCTCGTTGCCTGACCCTTCTCTGGGATCGTCAGACAATGCTAGTCACTGTGCTCCGTCGCCGTGTAATTTAAATGTACCACGGATCTAGTTACCGGTAGACAGGAAACAGAGTGCCAGAAGGATAGCCTTTTTGACACGTTGCGCTAGGACCCGATCCGTGGACAGCTTTCGACAGCGGCGCTCTCTTCAGCCGGGCCCTGGTCTTGGTGGAGAAGGCTCTTGAGAGGCGGTCTAAAGCGTCCGTGTATACGGCGAGGCTTTGGGGTGGGGGTCTTCGAGGGGTCTGCCGTTCACCCAACACACGCTTGGCTAAAGATAGATAGAGACGGATGGGTATAACAGCACGGTGGTATGTTGCTGCTGAACAGACAGGCATCAGTGCCATGGAATTATTAATATGTAAACCCACCATCGCGGCGGTCGCAAAGCTACCGCAGCAGGTGCCGGTTTCCTGACGGCTTCGCGCCCCAACCGCGCGCCGGCCCGGCGGAAAAGTCCTTGTAATGTCCTTCTAGTGCTCACAGTAACCTACGATACAGGTAGCTGGGCTGCTATCATTGGGTGTGTGTAGTTTGAAATTATGGAGAGTCAGTGGAGAGTGGATGTCGAGTTCATTGAGGTGGCCATGGAAGTTCAGGGCCAGGATAGACCGTTTCTGGTCTGAGGTGCGATGCTCTAAACAGCTTAATGTAGTCACCTACATACTTCGTAAACCCCTTTATGCATATCCTTGTTTTGAGGGGAGTTTGTTGATGAGAGTTCTATAGTGGCGCATTGGCTGACACCCTGGTCTGACAAGCGACCCTAAGCCCCTAAACCCATGAGGTCAGTATTATGGCCGGTTCAGCTTGGAGCATCGTAACACTGAGGCAGCTACACATGCAATGACTGCTATGACTCTTGATAGTATCACATGAAGCGCATTTGTGCTCTCTGTTGATAGTATATAGCAGTAGCTGCAGTTCAGGTGCTGCAGTATGGGCTGTTTTCCTCTAGAGAGGCTTCGGAAGTCTCAAATCGAGTCTCTATGTTCTACCTTGTTTCATCTGCCACCAAGACCGCAAACCCTGAAACCTTAGACCCTAACCCCTAAGCCCCGAAAGCTTGAAAAGCCGAAGCCCTAAACCATAAACCGCGCAGCCGTGTCCGACTCAAGCAGTTCGACAGGACATCTGTAACTTCGGGTTTCATGACTTCGGGCTCGGCTTTAGATGGAAGCTATGCATCTTTAGAGCTTCATTGTTTGTCTTGCAACGGTATGACTGCAACAACTCGTGTTGATTGCATACAAGTTAACAGCACTTCCAGCCTCTGCAAGTTCATACTCCACTGGGGTGACCCTGCTGGTCGTTGATGGCCTTCGTGCCCCTGGCGAGCTTCCACGGGCCCGTTCCACGACCCCTCCAAGCTCATCGGTTCCAACCCCACCAGTCCATAATACCTTTTTGCATTCAGAATGTAGCATGCACCAACCACTTCGTAGCCCCCTGGGCGCTGTTGAGAGCTTGGACACACTCCAAAACTTTATTACACTGTTTACCCTTTCGGTGCTCCACAGCTCAGCCACGGGTCCTCTGGTTTTGGTCCGCAGATGTCAGGATTGAAAGACAGGCCTTACAGAGTAACCGGACGTTTGTCTTCGTGTAGGAGTAGCAGTAGCAACAAGAATGAGAGTGATAGTGATAATGTAGGAGTAGCAGTAGCAATAGGAATGAGAGTGATAGTGAACATGATTTCTAATGATATCAGAGTTGCGACAACAGCCTCCTGATTCGCCATCCTCAAAGACCAGACTTGCAGCTTCAATCAGGCACTTCCGCTGCGACACCATGCAGATTGACTTGGCCGGGATCTTGGAGACGGATCTGTGAAGCTATCTAAAGCCTTCAGGCTCAAAACCTAGACTTTCAACCTCAAGACCAAATTGTAGGCAACCCTAAACCTCAAACCGTATATCCTGAACCTGAGTCCCTGAATCCGTAAAACTCAGAAAAGTCAAGCCTGAGACACTGAATCAGCCTATAGACCGCAAGCCGCTTGAGCTGCAGTTGCTTGATCTGAAAATCTGAATTCCAGGTTGGGGCCGTCATGGTAATAGTAATGCAGAGGGAATAGTAGTACGAGTAAATCAACCGTGCCTGTTTATCCCTGAAGCCCCAACGCCTGAAGACTTGACCTTTCAAACCTATCCTCGAAATCTAACCAGTCCTTCTAATGGACGCAATCCGCGATGATCCATGGTACGTAACCCCGTGGTTCAGGGGACTTCGGCTAAGGCGGGAAATTGTCCAACAGCACCCAAATGTTGCATCTCATGTCTGATGAGACCAGCCCTGTAAACATTCGAGATCTCCGTCCCGGCGACCCCGTATCAAACACCGCCGCAGCCCCGGCCGATAGAACACTACAAAATCCTTCAACGCTCCTTTGCCTAAGCGACGTGTTCCTTGAGCCTGCGACGTCCTATCATGGCCGCCAAGTTTTACGAAGCCCTGAGCCTCCCAAACCCTGTAGTTGCAAATCCTTATCGACCAGTCCCGCTGCCAATCCCCAACTGGCTTCGAACCTGAAGCCCTACAGACCTGGAGCCCGAAGACGAAACCTCATCTAAACCGTTCATGGGCGGCTCTTCCCAAGGCGCGCCGGTCAGCTGGGATCCCCATCCAGGCCTGTGGGGGTCTTCGATCCGTCAACTGGCCTCAGAACGGCTTTGGAGAGCTTTGAACAAGTGTAGACAAGAAGCAGAGCAAGAAAGGGGCCCAAATATGACGGCTAGGGTTCCTCATCACATAAGTATAGTATAATGGGCCCCAAAGCCCTGTTCTAATTATTAAGGCCCCTATATTGCAGTGGGTTTGGTTGTTTCGCGGTCTGCGGAGGCTTAAGGTGTCCACGGGGGCTCGGGACTTGGGCTTGGAGCAAGAGAGAGCTGCCAGCTTCCGGGATGCTGTACGCTCAGTAGACGACGACGGCTTGCAGCCAAAATGGACGGTCTTCGGATCTGCAGAGAGATGTTGCTTCGTTCAGCTCAGCTCAAGCCGACAACCATAGAAAATCGCAGAGGCTCGTGACATGTGGGATCGGTTGGAGAGCATTCCAGGGAAGATGTGCAGGCAGCATGCAGGTCGACAACACGCCTCCTCTTCAATCGCTGGATTCCATTCGAACGTAGATTGACCTAGAACCCAGAGCCATCTCTTTTGCGGGGTGAGAGCATAAGACCCACATGTGATCAGAGCCCTTGAAGATGTGTTTGTGGTTCCCTGCGGCCGGGTGCAACAACAACCCAGAAAGCCCAAGCATCTAACTAAGGTTTTTTCATAGGTGTTGCCAGAGGACTTACTTTGAGGTATCGTTGCTTTGTTGTTTTTGCCGGTGGTTGTCTGATGAGCATACTTGAAGCCCTGCTGGCTGTACATCTTTCGTATGACTTCAGAGATATTCCTCATCATGTGCTTTTGGATCTTCTGGGAAGGCGGCCACCGGAAGGAATCCGAAAGGTGCGGAAGTGGCTCAGAGCCTGAACAGCGCGGAGCCCAAGGAAAGCCTCGTTTTCGGAGGCTCCAATACGACACAGGACCCCTACTCTCATTGGAGCCGAATGGGGTTATGGGATACATTATGGCATAATTCAGGAGGAAATTGAACTAGATGCGGCAGCCTCGCAGTCTGATCGATTTCGCAACGACTCCAAGGCCCCTGAATGGAGGAGCATTCCGAATGCTATGGGGCGGTCTTGACTATGATTTGTCGTATGTTCCTAGCTAAAGGGTATTGGGGGGGTGGGTATTCGGGTATATAGGGTTTCCAGTGCGGTTCAGGGTTGCAGCGGGGGTTTAAGCGTTTGGGGTTAATGGAACCCTGAAAACATAAGCATAATAAGCTCTTGATAGGAGTGCAGGGAGAGAGAGAGAGAGAGAGAGAGAGAGAGAGAGAGAGAAACAAGAGGGGGATAGAGATAGGGAGAGAATTACTTCTTGCCAGTGTCTGCCGGCTTGCAGGTGTGAGGAAGTCTTACGGCTTCGGGTTCAAAGGTTAGGGATGTTTAGGGTTTTAGGGTTTGCGTGTTACGGTTAGAGGTTTAGGGCTTAAGGTTCAAGGTGGAAAGTCTCGAGGTTGGGCTTCAGGTTCAGGTTAAGGCACTGTATTCAAATCTTCGGGACGTAGGCAGAGGGGTTCGAGGCTGAGTGTCTGCAAGAGGTTCGTCGAAATCTCTAAGCCCCACATAACCGTAAGGATCTCAGAAGTAGGAACTTCAGGGATCAACCTTTGCAGGCTGCTAGAACTTCTTCTAGGATTTGTGCTTTAATATGAGTTTCTGTCGCATCCATTACCGTAAGGGGGAGTTACTTGGTTGTAAGTTTTCCAGCTGTCCCAAACCAGTACATTTGTACACCCTAAGCCCTAAGCTCTGGTGTCATCGGGGTCTTCGCTTGCAGAAGGATGACGAACCGTCCAAGACCAGTGCATTGTCAATACAACAGGCAAAAAAGGTGCAGCTGGCAATAAGACTGATGGCAGTCGCATCAGGAGAATTAAATAAGGCAGACCTTACCGCCTGGACCTTCTATTCCAGACTCCATAACCTTGACCCA